AACTATGCCATGCATAAACTGTCTTCACCAAATACAGTTGCCTCGGCTCATCATAAGAGCAATAAACCCTCCACAAGCATTTTCCATTCATCCCACATTTAAACGAAATTTTGTCCTTCTCCCACCTTTCTTGAACCACATTCTGTCCTGTTTTCAATGCGTAGTCCAAAATAGCTTCTTTGAACTCAACACCGGTTAAGAAAGCATCTCCAATTGCGAATCTATCACTTCCTCTTCCCCTTTTGATTCTTCTATCTCTCACCACAATCGGATCCTCATCTTCATCTGAGCTTTCTGGGATTGTATTTCGGGCAATTCTAATCTCATCAACAAATTTGGCTACTGATTCCTGCACTTCATACTCATCACGCTCCAATACATCTTCACTCTCCTCTTCCTTCTTTTTACCTTTTCTAGTCTTCTTTTCCCCATTATCTTCATGTTCTTCTTCATCTGCAATCACATTATCACTCTCTTCATTACTAGATTCATCACTCCCTTTGTCACCCTCCTCATCACGTCCTTTGTCACCCTCCTCATCACGTCTTTTGTCACTCTCTTCATCACTAGACTCATCACTCTCATTATAAAGCATATCCTCTGGATCAATTTCTACTTCGTCACTACGAAACCGAATTTGCAAATTACTAACTCACAACAACACTTACGACTCTAATAGCAAAAACATATATATATATATAACAACACTTACGTCATTTCTTTCGGAGTTGCCGCAATCCCTACGTTTTCCTTTAATTCCTTTAATAAGTTGCTGCAATCCCTATTGAACAGAGAAGATACACTAGAAATCAAGGTGATGATGAAAATTATGTTAGATGAAAACACTAGAAACTGAATGACGTTTTCAGAGCATGATCATGAAGAGCTAAGAAAACTAGTTAAGTAGATGAATTTTAACTAGTATATGTAAACATTAAAACCCAGAATCCAAAAACAAAAAAAACGTTGACGTAACTATCTCAAGCATATTCATAGATAGTCAAACAATTGCAATAAAACATTAAAGAAAATCAATGCAGAGAAACCAATCAGACCTGGAGAAAAATCACGGCGATGACTCTAATCTCTAAAACTTCCGAAGATGGCTGATTGGCTTTAACAACAACGAACCAAAACGAGAAGAAGTGAATCAAAACGATTTGACAAAAGAAATATTTAGGGTTTAATTTGAAACCCTCTTTCTCACTAAGAAGGTCTAATTAAAGTGTGGTCAACGTTTTACAAGTAGATTAATCTAAACGTGGTACAGTGAAACGCGATTAATGGTTTAGTAAACGTCATTTAGGATTTAATTAGATATGTGGAATTGTTAAGAAATTAATAGACTGGGGTGTATAGTGAAGAGATTAATAGTTTGGGGGGATTCCACTTTAGTGCTATAAGTATGGGGTGATTTATACAGCCAACCCAATAAAATTCGATGTGTACTATTGTAGACTTATAGTATATACATATACAAGTTACATGTCTCAAGGCGCGAGATTAATGGTTTGGCATCGAAAAAGCCGAAGTGGTAATATACGATGGAATATTTGGAAAGATAATTTGCTTTGTTATTGATTGATGGAGACATCTTTAAATTTCTCTTCTTTCATTTTTAATTGATTAATTTCTCTCTGCTTCCTTTTGTTTGTTTGTTCTCTGTTCTTTGTTGACACTCTCAAGGCTCCTTTTTAGGTAAAATTTCTGGAACTCTCAAGGCTCTTGCTACTCCTTGCTTGCTATTGAAAACAAGAATATATTGTACTTATTGTATAAATGATTTTCTATATTATATTAGATTTTTGTTTTTGCAAATTGACAAACTAAATATTTCGTAGTATTATACTAATATAGTTAAATAATAATAATAAACGATATTCTACATTCAAAAAGCTAGGATTGGTAGCCATGTGACACTGGCTACTGTTGACTATGAGTATATATGTAACATGTTCTAAGATGATTTGAATCAAAAACATATAAATTAATAAATAAATATTATATATATGAATTATAACTCTAGAAATTTTTGCAATTTCTATCTGTC